GGTGGCTCAGTAGATTAATCATCCGACATCAACTCAGATCATGATCTCACAGTTCATGGGTTTCAAGCCCTGTGTCAGGCTCTGTGCTGACAGCTCAGACCTGGACTGCTTCAGATTCTGTGTCACCCTCTCTCTCCCTGCCCCTCCCTGCCCTCACACTCTGTCTCTCTGTCTCTGTCTCTGTCTCTCAAAAATGAATAAACGTTAAAAAAATTTTTTTTTAATTTCTTTGCTATTCTCATCTGATTTCTTCCAAGTAAATATGCAAAGATTTTAATTAGTCCTAAGACATTCTTTTGACATTTTATTTAGATTTCATTAAATATCAAAAATACTGAGTAAAATTGGCATTTATTTTGCAATTATATGTCTATTCTTTTTGGAATATGTTATGTCTTATCTAGAAACAAGTTCAAGTCTATTTCAATCAAGTGCTGAAGTTTTCTTTATATAGTCCCTTTTCATGTGTTGTTAAATTTATTCCTAGGCATTTATATTTACTATAAAAGGATATTTTTACTAAAATTATGTCTTCTCTCTTAATTGACATAATAATAGAAAAGCAACTGATTTGTGTATATTTATTTATAACCAATCTCTTTGTTGAAATCTTTATTTTTCTAATATTTTTTCATGTGACTCTCATGGGTTTCATAACTATGTCATCAAATAATGGTAATTTTGTTGGGATACTTGATCAGATTTTTGCTTCCTTACTTATTTCATAGGCTATAATAATAACAACTATGTTAATTTTGGGGGTAGTTTGAAGTAGTTATTCTACGCCTTGTTAAACAAGAATCTTTCTGTTCTTACTTTATTAGGTAGATAGGAATGTAGATAGATGATAATGGTTTTCAATTTTGTCAAATGTCTTTTGGTGTCTTTTAAAGATTATTTAAAAATTTGATAAAGCCTCATTTGTAAGATACATTATCCTAGTAACCTTCCAAATACTGAATCAGTGTTACTTTTTCCTGTTTAATAATACATTATTCTTTTATTATACCATTAAAATCATTTTGCTGATATTTTAGGGAGAAAAAAACACTCACATTTATGGCTGTCTCTCATATTTTAATATCAACTTTATTTAGCTCTTTCTCTGTGCTAGTAAAATTACTACTTTTGAGAAAATTTGATAATTTCTCTTTTCCCAGGAAATTATCAAAGTTATCGATATTTTAATTTTATTCCTGTAGAATATTGCATACTATTTTTTACTCCATATAAATAACTTATTTCATTTCCAGTTTTTAACTATCTGTATTTTTGTTTTGGCTTTATTGAGGTATAGTTGACCACAAAGCTGTACTATATATTTGATGTGTACAACTTGATGTTTTGATATATATATGCATTGTAAAGTGATCACCACAATAAAGCTATAACATAGCCATCACCTCAAATCATTGCCTTTATTTTTGCTTGTCATAAGAATAGTTAAGAATTATCCTTTTAGTAAATTTCAAGTACACAATAAACTATATTCACCATGCACTCACCAGGTTCTGTACTATAGTCACCATGCTATACATTAAACCTCCAGAACTTACTGATCTTGCATAGCTGGAACTTGTGTCTTTTTGCCAATATCTCTTCATTTCCCCTATCTCCCACCCCCAACCTCTGGCAACCACCATTCTACTCTGTGCTTCTGAAAATTCAACTATTTTAGATTCTAAATAAATATGAGGTCATGCAGTATTTGTCTTTCTGTGTCTGACTTATTTTACATAGCATAATGTCCTCTGGGTCCATCCATGTTGCTACATATGTCAGAGTATTCTTCTTTTATAAGGATGAATAATATTTCATTGTATATTTTTTATCCATTCCTCTCTTGACAGACATTTAGGTTCTTGTTATATCTTGGCTATTGTGTATAATATTGCAATGAACATGGAAGTGCAGATATCTCTTTGAGACACTGGTTTCATTTCCTTTAGATAAATAACCAGAATTGAGATTGTTGGATTATATTATAGTTCTAGTTTTAGTCTGGGGAAGAATCTCTATAATATCTGTACCAATTTACATTCCCACCAACAGTGTACAAGAATTCCCTTTTGTCCACATCCTCACCAATACTTGTTATCTTCTTTCTTTTTGGTAATAGACATTCTAACAGGTTTGAGATGATATTTCATTGTGGTTTTTATTTGAATTTTCCTGATGACTTGATGACCAATGATGTTGAGCACATTTTCATATATCTTTTGGCCTTTCATATATCTTCTTTTGAGAAATGTCCTTTTCCCATCTTTTAATCAGGTTTTTTTTTTTTTTTTTTTTTTTTTTTTTTTTTTTTTTGCCATTTTTGAGTTGTAGGAGTTCCTTATGTACTTTGGATATGAATCCCTTATCAGATATGTGGTTTGCAAATATTTTGTTCTATTCTGTAGCTTGCTTTTGTCACTCAGTTAATTATTTCATTATATATACAGAAGCTTTCTAATTTGATACAATCTCAATCATCTAATTTTGCATTTGTTGCCTGGCTTTTGGTTGTCTCATATCCAAAAATCACTGCCCAGGTTACTGTTAAGACACTTTCTTCCTATGTTTCCTTCTATGAGTTTTAAGTTTTAGGTCTTACATTTAAGTTTTTAATCCATTTTGTGTTGATTTTTGTATATGGTGTGAGATAGAGGTCCAATTTCATTCTTCTACATGTGACTATCCAATTTACCTATCACCAGTTATTGAACAGACTATCCTTTCCTCATTGGATGTTCTTGGAACTCTTATAGACCATCAATTGACTGTAAATGTATAGATTTATTTCTGAAATTTCTGTTCTGTTCCATTGATCTAATTGTTTTAATGCCACTATCATATTGTTTTGATTACTGTAGCTTTGTAACATATTTTGAAATCAGAAAGCATGATGCCTCCAGCTTTGTTCTTCTTGCTCAAGATTGCTTTAACTATTTGGGGTCTTTGTGGTTACATGTCAATTTTAGGATTGTTTTTTCTATTCCTGTAAATAATTCCATTGGAAAAAAAAAGAATACCGTTGGAGTTTTCATAGGGATTGCATTAAATCTGTAGATCACTTTGGGTAGTATGGGCATTTTAACAATGTTAATTCTTCTAATACACAAACACAAGATTTCTTCCCATTAATCTATGTCTTCTTTAATTTCCTTCCTCACTGTTTTGTAACTTTCAGCATATAAATATTTTACTTCTTTGGTTACATTTCTTCCTAAGTATTCTGTTATTCTCATTGCTATTATAAATGTCATTGTTTCTTAATATCTTTTTCAGAGAGTTCATTGTTTGTGTATAGAAATGCCACTGATTTTTGCATGCTGATTTTGTATTCTGCAACTTTACTGCATTGCTTTATTAGTTCTAACAGCTTTTTTTTGTTTAGTCTTTAAGATTTCCTACATATATGATCTTATCATCTGCAGACAGAGATATTTTGACTTCTTCCTTTCTGGTTTGGATATTTTTATTTCTTTTTCCTGTATAATTGCTTTGGCTAAGGCTTCTAGTACTATGTTGAATAGAAGTGGTAAGAATGGGTATCTTTGTCTTCTACCTTTGTAGTACTGGAGTTACGTCCTCAGGGGGATAGGCTGCTTTCAGGAATGTAGACAGGACAACAGTTGGTTAGCCAATCACTGAGAACAGCCCTGTCTCCTGAAAGTATTATTCAGTCTTAGGTTCTGTCACAGTTACACAACAAGGATCCCAAAGCTCCCACAAAGGTACGTTGTTCATGGATGGCTGCCAAATTGTTGTTTCTATGAGAAGACCTCCTATTCCTTCATGTTGCTGATACCACTTCCTCTATCTGTATTTATATGTAAAAGTTTTCTTTTTCCCTAGTCAGATTTACCAAGAAATTGCTTTCTAAACAAACTAGCTGAATATTTGATTTAATTATTAGTTCTGTTTATTTTGTGACTTAAATTCTATATTTATACATAATTTTTAAATTAATTTTATTAAGGTTGCCTTTTACTTTTGATAAATTTGTAATTTAGGGGAAAAGTCACACTTATACATAAAAGATAATCACTAAAAGGTGTTGTAAACAACCCAGGATCAAGTTATGTTCCCTAAATGATGAGAGGGAAGATTGTGTAATTATTTTTTCCTCATTTCAATGCCCAACAAAAGGGTTTCATTTAAGTCCAGCTGCAAAATTTCCATAGACCACACTTGGCAACAGATAACTTAGAATAACATAAGATAGAAAATATGTCTTGCCAGCAGGGTAGTGTTAATTATTTTTCTTCAGTGAGAGTTTGACTTACAACATTCATTTAGAATATAGGTCACATGCAGGGGCACCTGGGTGACTCAGTCAGTTAAGCCTTGGACTTTGGCTCAGGTCATGATCTCAGGGTTCCTGAGTGGGAGCCCCACATCAGGCTCTGCGCTGACGGCTCTGAGCCTGGAGACTGCTTTGCATTCTGTGTCTCCCTCTCTCTCTGTCCTACTCCACTCACACTCTGTCTTTCTCTCTCTCTCAAAAATAAAATAAAAAACATTTAAAAAGATAGAATATAGAACACATGCAAGGAGACAATACCTATATCGGGTGAGTAGAAAAACCTACCTGGCTTAGAAGCCTAATAACCTCGTGTTAGAAGCCAATATCTCTCGTAATAACTAAAAAAGTGTAACTTCCAGGTCCCCAAAGAGACAAGTCCAAGAATTACTGCACTCAGAGAAGCTCAAAGACATGGCTTCTTTTCATATATTTATTGTTTTCCCAGTCCAGATGAGATTTACTACTATAAGCTATGTTGCCTGGAAACATAAACAACATTCTAACTTTATCTCATTTCCAAGAGAACAGAGCTTTAAATTAGCCAAAAGCCAAATTCTCATTCAGAATATGTATGTAGAAATATAGGTCCTACCATGTTTTTATACAACTAAATATACACAAATGTAATATTTTTTGCCTTGTCTGTATAACTTAAAATTCCAAACTTAAATCCTATTTTCTGCTTTTATTCTCCATATTTTCACAGGTAAAATATGGAAATTATGCGTTTGTATGGGATGCAGCTGTATTGGAATATGTGGCTATCAATGACCCAGACTGTTCATTTTACACCATTGGAAACACCGTTGCTGATCGGGGATATGGAATTGCATTGCAACATGGCAGTCCTTACAGGGATGTTTTTTCACAAAGGTAAGATTTGTGTGTGGTCCAAATAAGGAGAGACAAAAAAATAGAAAAAGAAAATCTACTTGATTACCCATTTAGTTTTATTACATTTTGTTTTCTTTGTTTGGAAAAGCATAATAAACAACAATAATAAAAGGTAGTTATAAATGTTATTAAATGACACATTCATTTCCTAAAGCATGTACTGATGTATTATTTTTTCCATAAAAAGGGAGAAATATTGCTGCATATGACTGGTTTTACTCTTTAAAAATTGATATGCAAAAGAAAGCAGTATATTAATAATTTTTTTAGAACTTAATTAGCAGTTTAGTGTCTGAATTTTTAAGGACTAAGTGTTGTAGCAAAATGAATTCATTCTTATGAATACTAAACCATAAAATAAACTTCAGGACAAAGTTAAATGTACTTAGGACCAGTCTGATGTATTGAAGCACATAATGATAGGATCTTTCCATCTGAATTTCACAAAGGAAAAGAATAAGAATTTTAGACTTCCTCACTTGGCATCAAAGTATATGAGACTTTGTCACGGAATTAAGGAGATGGTAAATTAAGAAATTATATTCATCCTCAAATTCAAGTTTTCTTTTATAATTTTTTTTTAAAAGAAAAGATTTTGAAATGTGTATTTTAGATTAACAGTGTGTATTGAAAGACCTGGGCCTGAGAGGCACTCCCAAAGATCACTGCATTTCATTCTATCTACTATCAAACAAGTGTGGCCCTAAGAGATTGCAGTAGCTTTTGGGTAGAAGTATATTTCATTTGACATTGATGCTGAATTTTGTTTATTTTCTAGATATTTTGCTACCTATTTTCTAAAAACCAATGCCAGACCAAGAGGGCAGTACCAGGTAGTGCTATGGCCCCAAATTTCAAACTATTTGGGTTGCATTCCTCCAGATTTTAGGATAACAAAAAGCTAGGTATTTTCATTAAAAAAACAAAAACAAAAACAAAATTAAGTCAGGAGTCCAGAATTGATGTCCAAACTCTCCCATCAGCTGACAAAAAATCTAGGCCTCTCTCCTTATCTACAGAAGAGGAAGTTTGACAAACTCCAAGGTCTGTGTTAGACAGGTTTTCTGTGTAATAAACAAGCCCCAGAGTACCAGTGACTTTTTGCATTCATGAAACATAAGGCTGTGATTGGGTGAAGGTCTGCAGTGGGCTGCAGGTCAACTTCTCATTCCAGGGCCGGGTTGGAGACGTGGCCCTATCTGGGACAACCTGTTTTCACAGCAATGAGAAGTTGCAGAAGAGGCTGCCAGAAACCTGCAGTGCTGCTTGTGCTTTTTAATTGGTTGTGGCATATACCACATCTGCCACAAACCACTCAAGAAAAAGAGTCTCATGGCCAAGCCCAGAATCGATGGGGGTGGGGAACTGTACTTCACATAAAGGGAAGAAATAAGTAAATAATTATGACCAAACATACAACCTACCAGTGGCCCTTTATGGCTCTGAAAACATCAAAAATGACAAAAATGAAATAAGAATAAATTAGGAGGTAAAGTACTTATGTATAAAAAATGATTAATCAGTTAAAACACCTTTATTGATGAGTAGATTCTAAGGGGAACAAACTGGAAATCAGTTATGCTGTAGAGATCTTACCTGGAAGACACTTACAGTCTAGTTGGAGATTCATGGCCCATGCACATGAAACAATGAACAATAGAGACATTTCTAGAACTGTGTGCTGACATTTACATATATACAGTATCAGTATTGCATCTTTATATTGCACTGAGTTGTGTAGCTGAGATATTGAAAGAATTGAATACTATACAGAATGAAGAGTTAGTCAAAGGAAACATGAATGGAAGTTCTCCAGAAAAGGTGAGCTCTGAATTTGACCTTGAAGGATTAGTAGAGAATAGTTAAGCTGAAAGGAAAACATAGATAATTCTTGGAGAAATGATGAAGACAACAGGGTAGAAGTAGGAGAGAGGAGAATATGTTGAGAAGCAACAAGGGCAGCAAGTTAATTTGAAAGGAAATTCGAAGTTTGGAAGTCGTATTGTAGACCACAAGCAGCTGTGAAAACCTACAGCCCATTCTAGAGCCCGAGGGGAAAATGAAGCAGGGGTATTTAAGGCAGGGTTAATCTAGTTTTGAGCTGAAGGATGGATTAGGATTGACAAACTAGAGCAAACCTGGAAGCATGAGACAAGGAAGGCATAGTTCATAACTGGGCAATGGAGAATGAGGAGGAAGGAGCAAATAGAAGAGATACTTTAAAAAAAAATTAATGTTGATTTATTTTTTAGAGAGACAGAGACAGAATGTGAGTGGGTTGGGGCAGAGTGAGAGGGAGATACAGAAACCCAAGCAGACTCCAGCCTCCAAGCTATCAGCACAGAGCCTGACATGGGGCTCTGACTCACGAGCTGTGAGATCATGACCTGAGCTAAAGTCAGATGCTCAACCAACTGAGCCACCCAGGTGCCCCTAGAAGAGATACTTCTAAGCAAAGAGGCACACCGTTGTTTTTACTAATTTAGAAGTGAGGATGGAAAGCATAATAGAATGAAGGAGATGCCGGGGTTTATGAAAAGTCTAATGGATACTTACCATGAACCATGTAGTTGAGAAAAGGATTATTTATTCCATAGTTGTAGCTAATTGGGCTTTTCTTTTTGTTTCCTGAACCGATTTCTGGGTCTTTTATGCAAAAGAAGAAGCCAATAAAATCAATACACAAACATAATGGCAACTAAAGAAATAGTTAATAAATCACACTAAGTGTTCCATTTCTTATTATCCCTGTGGCGCTTTACCTAAGAGAGATTTTTAATTCTGAGAAAATACAATCCAGTGAACTGCTGAAAAACAATACTAAGCATTGAGCATTATTTTTCCTTTGATTTGCATTATGGATGTTGGCAATTTAAATTGTCCCTTTCTGTGGAGCTCCTAAATAATGACCTATGTATCCTGGTTTCCTGGACATCTGAAAGAAGAGAGATCTAGGAAAGAAACATGATCCGGCAACTGTTGATGTGCCAGTGCATCCTTTTATACACATGTGCCACATTAATCTATTACCCTAACTCCCTCCCTGAATTCAGAAAATATGTGCATTCATTCTCTTGTGCTGTGGCCATTAGGGAAAGATATCTCTTTTTTATTAACTGATTTAAAAAATTATAGACCATAAAATTTAATCATTGTAGTACACCTTAGAAATTATTATAAACAACTTTAATACATCAACTTATCCTGGGTTCTTGATTATGCTAGATCACTGATTGCTACTATAATTATTTTCAATGAAAATGATAGCATTCAGGGTGATTTTTATATGAAGTAAATGCTAATTTCTTCTCAAGTATCTATACACCTATACCATGACTTATAAGATACCAAAGTATTCAAATATGTAATAAATATTAATATCTAATAAATATTATATATTGATATAGTAACTACATATATTATGCACTATCTGCCAAGTATCTTATATGCTTCTATACTTTAATGACACTTCAAAACAATCATATGAAATGCTCATTTGCTTATTGTATGTTTGCATATTAGTGCACAACTATTATACTACAAGTGAATGTGCTGAATGGATGGCCTGAGCTTTGGCAAATGTTAGGTTAAGCATCAGAAACACAGGCTATAGGGATCTACTCACTTTACAATTGTATGATTGTAGACACACTCAGGAATGACTGTTAAGGACCAGTAAATGCTACAGTATATATAATCATAGAATCAGATTGAGGAGTTTTGTTTCCTTGTCTGCACAAATAATAGATAACTTGGCAGCAGAAGCTGAAGTATTTATGCAATCTCATCAGATAGGCCAGAGTTCTAGTGGGTGAGTGATGTTTGCAGTGAATTCTCTGACACCATTTCATCGAATGCCTATGTGGCCCTTGTCTTGTAATAGGTCTTTGTATACAAAAATTATTTAGTCAAAAGCTGTTACATTAAAAACATTTAAGAGTAGAAGAGAGCTGAATTTTTCAGTGATATTATTATTCTTTTAATAAAATAAACTCCAGTGTTGATTTCAGAATCTTAACCATTCATAACTAAAAAATGATTTAAAAATATTTATTGAGCATTTAGTATGAGCTCATCTCTGTGCTCAAATCTTAGCATATACCAAGGAGTAATTAATTCATAAGTTTAATGTTATACTTCATCAATAAAAAAGTCCCTTTTTTGCCTATTGGCTTCTATCTCTAAACTTTAGGAATGAACCACCTAGTCACACAAAAACAAGGACATATTTCAAGTTGTATGGAGAATGATTTTGTTGGATTCATGATATTGGTACAGATCCATAAATAATATTTCAATCTAGTCACAGAATTTCAGAATTTTTATAAACGGAATAATCGGTAGTTCCCTTTTATCAATGATGGAACTAGTTCAAAGGGGTAAATTACTTACTCAGAATCACAAAAAGCAATAAAGCTAGAAAATTTTCAAGAGTCCTAATTCCATGTCCAGTTTTCTCATCATCATGCACCCTATCTTCCCTCAACTTTCTTCTAAAAGCATATAAAAATAATACTATATTATGTTTACATGTGCCAAATTTTGAGTAGCAAAATGTAGTTTGCAAAATGTAGCAATCTATAAGTACTAGTATTGTCCTCAATTTATAGACACAGAAGCTGAGACATAATGAGGTAACATAATTTGTCCTAGTTCACAAAGCCATTGAGTATGAGAGCTGAGATTCAAATCGAGACAGTATGGCTCCAAAAATTGTCATAGATGTTTAACAATCTGCGTTTTAAATAAATATTTACAGATTGCCCTTTCTCTCTCTGCCCGCCTTCCTCTCCCTCTTGGGGGCACAGAATAGCATTAATCATAATCCTTGACACATGACACACTTTCATTTTTGGTCCATAAATGACCACTTTTATTTGTTTAATTACTTTTAATTTTCTTGAATATAGCCTCTTTTTTGTTGTTGTTTCTTCCCTTTGCATTGTTAACTGTTAGAATATCTGTGCTTCACTTTGGTT